AACAAATGTCACTGTTCAATACACACAAACGAATAAAAATATACTACAAGCGTCACGTATCGCACAAATATTTCTGTTTATTTACGAGTTCAACATTCAACGACAGAACACAACGCAATACCTGATCCTAAAAATACAGAACAAATTACAGAATCTTCATGATAAAATGAAACATTCAATTTGAAACCTACCTTATATTGTTGCGGTGACTTTTTGTGTTTTAAAAACATTTTAATTTGGTTGAGAATGATTTGTTCGGTATGTTCTGATGAAAAAGATAATATCAATAGTAATGAAAGCGTTAAAATGCTACTAGGATATGTCGACAATAGTAGTGATCCTAAATAATGGACAATGGTTAGTTTCGTGAAGATGTTACTTCTCCTTTTCGTACCTGTTTGATAAAGAAGTAAAAGCCTTTCATTGGCAACATTCATTAAATTTTTCATTGTACACGATGTTTCATCCTCATCTGCCGACATCGAATTGTATATAAGAGATAAATAATCAGATGGTGTATAAACACACAGATCCCATGATAATGTTTCCAACACGTGAATTTCACGAACGTGAATTTGGTCGACTGTTGTTTGACAATGCATGGCCAAATATTCATATTGTGGTTCCGTCGAATCTTGATACTTTGCACACAGTGACACACAGGCACAAATCAATGCTAGATCAAGTTCAGCTTGTGTTTTCGCTAGATAATATCGTTTTATTATCACATTTGACATCCAACAAACCGATGTCGAGTAATTCAACCATAAGCAGAGCTAGAGAGAGAGAGAGAGAGAGAAGATAGGTCTTTCCAGTATAAGAGACACACGCGTTACATACCTTGGCAACAGTCTGATGTACAATTGATGGAAGTTCACTTGATAAAAGATCGTGATAACACAATTCGTCTTCTGTGGCTAACATTGTTTGCAAGATATCGGTATCCAAACACAATTTTGAGTCTTTGGCTGCATGCACATAGTCATCATCCTCATTGGCACAATTCGAAAATATTCCAAACGATTCTAACTCATCGGTAAACATCATTTTAGTTGCGCTTTCCGTCAGTGAGGTTGTACTTTTTAAAGTGATATGTATAATTCACTTTTCCTCTGTATATATATAGTTTTGTATGTTCTCATCGACAAAATGCTCGTCCAATCAGATACCAATTTCTCTTTTTTTTCTTCTATACCGTGTCATATATAGGTACACACACGGTACATATGAGATCAGCTGTTTGTATCCGTCTGTGATTGGTTACGAACAGAAAAAAGACAACGATCAGCTGTTTAATGAAGGTAGTGAGCAATGTTATTTTTCTGATACTGAGAAATAAACTTTTTATCGTTGATGACCATTTCAAAATACTACACCCTGCTCCTTTCGCCGCAATCATGTCCATCACTTTCTGTGCTCGTTTTTCAAATAATGAAGATATTTCATGGATATTAGATAGTGGAAGAAGTTCTCTATCTTAACGCGATCTAAACGTGCGCCATGCCGTAAATCAAACAATAGTGTGGGTATCGTCTCAGTGGCTGGTGCTTGTAACGAAACGTTGAACCATGTAGAAGAAAACAACTCAAATTTGTAAAGTGCGTTGGTAATGTTTGTATCTCTCATCTGGTTGAAAGTTTCGAAGCGAGATCCTGGCTATTCGCATTTATAACTTTCAGTTTTTAAAATAACTTGTTTATTTGAGTTTTTATTACGTTTATTACCTTACAAATGGTATGTTCCCATTTTTGACTCTTATCTCTGCTCCATCATATTTTCTTCTACAACATCAGTGGTACCAAATAATTTCGACGTTAAGCAATGGTCTTCGGCATCACTTCCGTATTGACAATTAAACTTAGCTGAGATCGAGTTCTTTAAATCTCCACTTTCCGACCTCTGTTCGTTTCCAGAGTGGTCGAAGTACATTTGACGTTTATTCTGTCAACAAGCCGAGTCTAATCTTCGCTGCTAACACACTTTGAAGATAAAAGATGGACAATTGTTTGCAATGAAACGAAACGTCATTTGACATAATACCTCCTCGTTTATCTTCATGTTCAAACTGTTAAAAGTTTGCTCTAAAATTTAAAAGCAGACACACCGCTTCATATGACAATATAGATCATCTAAATAAATGTCCACGTGTATGAAACTCATCTTTTTCAAATAAATCAAATCATGTTCAAATATAGTTTGTTTTTTATTTAAACTTCAAACATCATTCATTGATCATCGACTTTCTTGTTCTGTCATTTGAAGTCTATAGAAGATGGACAGATAAAAGAGAGTGCTTCCGTTCATGAACGAATGATATCGAAATAAAAAGTTCTACTCATCATTTGTAGTAGACACAGTTGAATGGAGAAGGGAGAGATTAACAACACGTCACGCAATAGCTAATTCTTGTTGTAATACATATACACACACACACATTCTCTCTCTCTTGTCTATCTGATAGCGGAGATGATAAAACGGCCAGTGCGAGGTACAGGTTTGGGGAGGTGGACTGAATATTTTCTCTTTACACGAGCTTTTCTTGCAGGTAACCCGTTTTTTGCATTCGTACCTGCTACCGCTGG